ATTTTTCTCGGACGTCTTATCTGGTTAGGTCTTCATGCGATCGCAACATTGGTACGACGGAGCATATCGTTGCTCGAGAGGATGGTGTCGACGGACAATTTGAACGACCCTCCCACGAGATACGGGACTCAGGACTTCTCTATCGCTGGTGTCCATTCAGGCGACTCGCTCGAGAGAGAATCAAAAGAGAATGAAGGATGACCGCCTCTATCTAGGTCTTGCTGTCGAGCAGACTTGGCATATTCAATCCGGTCCTTTTCGACGAGGGGATCACCGCGAAGTGTCGCGCCGTCCCGAACGTCAGAAGACGGGCATCACACAGGACTCGCCGTGCCGAGATGGGGGATGCGGGAAGTTACCGCGAAGCTTTCCTCACCAGGTCGAAGAAGCGGCCAATCGAATGATAGGGAAGCGGCGACAGATTATAGCACACACTGGCACAGTGTAGACATCTCGACTATGTAGCTTGAATGGAAAAGCCGTTTGTACCTATGAATCTTCTAGTTCACCTGCGCGCTTGCAAAACCAGCCCCTAACAACCACCACCACCACTGGACGATAATCAAAGAATAAATTAGTCCGTTAAAAGTCTTGCCTGATTAATTCATCGTATTGTCTTCCCGCCGATTTTCCACAATGAAAGGCTACCCGTCCGATCGCCGCCGGGGCCCAAATCCGACGGTGCGGCAGAAACGTCGGAACAAAAGGAGTTGCGCGAGTGGTTCGAGAACGGTCTGTGGCACCTTCATTTTTTCCCCCCGGAAACTTGTGAAAGAGCGGCAATACGGAGCCTTCCTTCAATGCTCTGACCATCGAGACACGTTTGAAAACGCCTAGGATGACTTCTATTCGAACCTAGTCGCTCGTAGATCCTGCATTCGGCTAATACAAATGCATCAAAGTGCCGGGGTCCTCTCCGTTCCAATATGGCACACCGGCCTCCGGGTTCTAACACATCTTCTGCCGAACTACAGTCAGGTTGGGGGTCCAGGACTTGTTTTTCTACCTTAGCGGGAAGGCACCGATGACGTTGCGGAAGTAGATGATGATAGATTAAAGACCGAGGGCAGGAGCCCCTTCATCGAGCGAGTTTCTCGAGTTTGCAGTTGGTGCTTTGTGGTTGCTGGCAATTATGGCAGTTGGGTAAGGTGATCCGAATGGGCGAATGTCCGCACTTGCAACAGGAAGATCGTCGTCTTCATATTTTCGACGGAGGGTGCACCGTTGATAGGGTCCTTGAGGTCGGTAGCGAGGTATAGATAAAGAGGCGTCGCCTTATACGACGATAGAAATTGGTAATCCGTTAGCGAGATGTTTTTGTCTCCATCAGCGGCACCGCAACGATCGGGGGACCCGATCGTTCCCAGGAGCGAGCCGCATCTTGGCGGGGGGCATCGTGAGGGTCGCCGCCTCGGTCAGCGAGGCCACAGTTAGCAAGTGGCGTGGTGGTACCGGTCACGACTAACTTGGGTACCCGCCTGATGTGTGGATGTGCCTTGAGGAGGTGGTGGAAGATGTGTCTTGAAGCCCAGGCGTCAGGGTACGATCAGTGTCGCGGAAACGCTAATGCGGGGCACACATGATTACAGTAGGTTTTGCCGTTTCGCGGAGCGCTAATGCGGGAATCTACGCCAATTCTTTCCGAACTAGTGGTTGATCAGTCCCATATATGACATCGTCTCTCATGATGTGTAGGTTTTTTGGCACTTGTTTCTTTGAATAATAACACTCTCGCATGGCTTTATGTTTAATTGCCCTTCCTCTTATCTAGTCGAGACATCTCATCCATCGTCTCCCCATCCAGCCGAGCGACGCTGTCGAGCTCAAAATCCTCGGAGAAGCTACATGGGCATTCCACCGTCGACAATCAATATCACTCCACTCAGACATGTCCCCCGTCCAAACATCCTCCGAGCCCTTCAATATTTATCCACAGAGTAGCCCTCCTGATATACTGTCGCTCAAAAACGTCAGGCATTTTCGCATTTACTGTTTACTACTTCCGGAACTGGATAATGCGAAGCAATTCCGGGCGGAGAAGAATGAAAATCAGCGACTGGTGATTCGTTGCTGGCCAGACGAGATTAAAGGTAAGTGGTTGACGTGTAAGGGCAAGAAAGACGAGGAGAACGAGAAGAAAAGGGACGAGGAGATGTTCGAGGTTTACCAGCAGCTCGTGCTCCGACAGCGGGTCAGTGTCTTCCGATAATGGTAGGGAGTGGGCATTGTCTGACCCTGATTTAGAGGTTCTTTGATGAGGGGAATACGTGGATAACCAATCTACCCGCCGACCGTACAATCGAGCTCTTTTTGCCAGACAGCCCTTCGATATTGGACGATGGCTTTATCAATTTCTTTTCGCCGACCGTCGTCGTCCCTAGGCAGGACATGGATAAAACGCAATGTTTGGTGCGCTACTTTGACCGTCGCAAAGTCCGGGTTAAGCTCTCTCTGGGGCGATGGGTCGTCGCGTCCCCATCCGTCGCTCCCTCGAAACATGGCTCCATAGGCCTTGAGAAGCTCTCAGATGAGGTTGTCATAATGATATTGGCCTTCCTCGACGGGTACTCGAACAGTTCGGTCGCTCGTGTGGACAAACGTTTGAGAGGAATTGTCCAAACGGGACCGGTAGCTAACGCCGCGATAGAATGGAACAAGAAAATGCAGTATAGCAAGGAGTTGGGAGATCTTCTCAAATCGCATTGTACGAGGGATATCTCCTTTGATGAGTTCGAGGACGCTCTGCGGGGAAATAAAGGAGAAGTCCTGGAGTACCAATTTCGGGGTTTCTTAAATGGTGTTCGCGATCTCGGGGTCAGGAAACTCGGAGAGTGTGAGTCGACCCAAGGTCTATTGCAGTGCTTCCAGGTTGCGAGCCGACGACATCTTTTACTTCGGTGTACCTCCTGTGCCTCAAAGTTTGGTGAGCAGGATCTGGTTTCGACCGCTTGGGACGACTCGAAACTTCAATTTGATCCTGAGACAATCATGTGCCCCGCTTGTATCGTCCAAAGGAACCCCGGGCGCTGGCACAGCTTCGGTCCAGGCTATATTTCTGGAAGAATAGACTGCAATTGTGGTCGCAGAGGAGATTTGGAGTGGGGTAGGGTGAATCGACGCGACGCGGTAGTGCCCCTGTCTCTCAACCTTTGTTTGGAGTGCAGTCGTGCGGCACCGGTGTATCGGGATGTGTTGGGTTTGTATGACATAATATTTCGTTATGTGAAATATTGGGAACACTTCATGGGTGGCCAAGGCTTAGAGCCAACGCGAAAATTTTACGGTGAGTCTACCCTAGCGTCCACAGAACAATCAATAATTTCATGGCTAGATTACATCAGTGGTGCTCGGCAGGCCTGCATCGACTGTCTTCGGGCGCCGCCACGCGATTTCACTCCAGAAACCACTGTCAGTGTTGAGCGATATTCACCAGTGGAGAAATACATGGCGGGTCGGGGACGGCGCCTACCCCGGGGGTTTAGCGGTAGGTCTATCATTGCCGTCCACAGAACAGTCGTTAATTCACGGGAATAGAAACGATGGAAAGGGCTGAGCAATCCAACCGCGATCTTATTCGGCAGGTGGACGAGGACGAGCTGTGAGCCAGCAAGATAGATCGGGGATTACAGATCGCCTAGAGGTGGAGCGACGGGAATATATCGTATGAACCTGCAAATATATCCACCGTGGTTCCCCGAATACGTCTCCGACCAAGGGCCTCTCTTCGAGTTTCCTTTTTATCTCGTAAGGGGTGGCGGCGCGCCCGGAGCAGCCTTGCGCCTTGTGGAGGTCGAACTGCGGAGAGAGTCAGACAGCGATGCGCCCCCTCGATCGCAGGCGCATGAGGCAGTTCCTTGGACCGACGTGCGTGGTGCACCACTGCACTATTCGGGCGATCGTTGATTGATAACCACCGCGGTTCAAGATGGCGGTGCTACGACAAAACCCCTTCCTGTTCTCGCCTCCATCGACCACTAATGGAGCGTGTGAACTCGTATTCCGTGCTTTCAGCGTCAGGAACCCGTGGATGATGATGATGGTGATGAGAATGTGCCTTGGACTGCCATTCCTCTGCACCCCAGGTTTGTAGGCGGCTGGAGCGCCCGTCCTACGCGGAAAGGACGTTCTCGATGGGGATGGATGGAGGGTGATGGCCCTAGGAGACCATGAGCCAACGCAGTGACGGGACAAAGGTTGCCGGAACGGTCTATTGCTGGTGCCGTGGAAATTACACATCTCAAACCGGAGAGAGGGTAGGGTCGGATGTTGGGTCTCCCGGTGAAGAGGCAGCACAGGTGGGCGTGGAAGGGACACCAAAAAACACACCCAGAGGATTTACGTCTCTAAAAGTTGCTCTCTAAGTTACAGTACCGAATCTGGGAGTATGTGGGATCTAATTAATTGAATGGACCACGTATGGTACCGGTGGGGACCATTTCGTCGGTCTTGAACGGACGGGACAGGCAGAAAAGATGTCATTTACAGGAAAGAGACCGTCGAGGAGGAATACACCACCGTCACGGCAGACCGATGAAGACCGATGAAGACCGTCTCGGGTGTTCACCGAAGGACATTCTGTGAGGGGGGGTAATATTAGCCACAACAACGCCTAAACTCAAAGGTTCACGATGTCTCTGAAAAGGGAATCCTCAACGGGGACTTCACCCGCGAGCGAAGCCCCACGAGCGAACCAAAGTGTGGAGACCCTAATGTTCCGACCGGTCCATGGGAATAAAAGGGGAACAGAGTAGTCCGCTGTCTGCCATATAATCTTCCTAAATACCGGGTAATTCAAACCTGCCACACCGACACCGCTTGACTTTTTGACGGTTCACCTGGAGCCTCACCCTAAAGCGAGGCCGACCGACACCGCGGTAGTATTATCATCATGGTACGCGGGAAATGCAAGATACTCCTCCAGCTCAAGCCGCGTTAGGTGGTAATGCTCCCCCTCACGAGGGCAGAAGGACAGAATGCGTACAGTATCAGCCGTATCAACCTCAACGCTTATAAGGATTATATCTTCTATGGCCTCCGCCGAGGCCCCTCATTTTTTGGTCGGGATTCTTGGGACCGTTTGGTGCGTTCGCCGGAGCCGCGTTCGCCGGAGCCGCGCTTGCCTGAGCGAATGCAGCTGGCCGTTTGGGTGGTTGAAGTGTGTTGTTGCGCACTGGTCCTACAGATCCATGACCACCGTCTAGTTGGGGGACGTCATCATACATACCCTCCCATGACCGGGTGTTCTGATTTTGGAATCCAGGGCTCCAGGATCTGCCAGGAAAGCTGCGTTGTCGAAGAGTGTGTTGCTCCAGGGCTGATAGGCGGTCCTGGCTACTTCCCTGTCCTGTGAATCCTCGTCCACGTCCCATAGCATCGACGCTGTTCACTCCACTATGTTGTTGTTGCCACTGCGTTGCCTGCTGCCTCATCTGTGGATTCATCCCTTGCGTGTGACCCATGCCGCTCGTCCCATCCTGGGCGGTGGGGCTGTTTCCTCCTTGCATTTTCCACATCTGCAGCATCTGCAACTTCTTCATCCTTTGCAGTGTTATTTGACCCATACCTATATTGCTCATGTTGCCCATGTTGCCCATGTTACCGATGTTACTTCCTCTGTTCTCTGCCGTCTGCCGTTGCATTATATGGAAATAGTGTTGCATTAGCTGCCAATAATGAGCTCCCATTTGAGGAGTCAGACACTGAGCCTGGCTCTGATTGCCCTGGGTGACCTGGTGGTTCTTATCATCGCCGAATCGGCCATCCCGATCAAACTTTCCTCTTTCTCGCGCAACCCGAGAGGAGCCGTCGTCTTCGTCCATCTTGTCTGCGGCCTGTGCCGGCCTAACCTCGATTTCCTTGCCCAGGATCACCAACGGCCGGTATCCTAGACATTTCTCCATGGCGGCGTCACTGCCGAACGTCACAAAGCCAAATCCACGGGGTCGACCGGTGTTTTTGTCCATCATGAGGGTCGCATCGACGACTCGGCCAAACTGGGCGAAGAATATTTCAAAATCTCTCTGGGATGCTTCCTGACTAACACCACCAACGAAGATTTTCGCTGTCTTCTGCAGTTCAGCTTGGGGGATCGCGCGTTTGGGATCGATCTGAGAGCCCTGTTGTAAGCCTTTGGGATTGCGCCTCGGAAGGAACGGTCGCAAAAGGGTAGCGATTTCCCTTTCCGCCTGAAAGGCGGGGCGGGCGGGGTTTCAGATAGGGGCCTTACCACTGTGCCATCGACGACATGGCGTTGGGTCATCATCACTCTGTTGACGGCCTTGGGGTCCTTGAAGGTGAGGAATCCGAATCCACGGGATCTCCAAGTAGCCCTATCCCTCATGATTATGCAGTCCCGAACCTCGCCGAATCGCGAGAAGTAGTTTTGGAGAGACTCTGTTGGATTTTGTTTAGTATCTCTGATGTGTGGTGTCGAGGAATGACTCTTGTCAACGTCACGGGGAAGGGGAGGAGCTAGCCGTACGGTTCGTGGTTTCCCAACTCAAGCCACCGATAAACATCTTTCTGTAGAGAGATTCTGTTAGCCACAAGGTCACGGAAGGGTAATATAGATAACGACAGGGTGAAGGAGCGCATCGATGGCAATAAATGAACGCGTAGAAAGCGAAGAGGCGCATAAAGCTTCAGACGGGATCTCTATCGCCGGCTTCGCCGTGGACATCCTTCCAAGAACGGAACCGCGGAGAGAAAGGCCCGCCTTTCCGACCGAGCCAAAATTGGGTGGGCAGCAACGTCGCTGATGTCAACTTTATACGGACACGACCCTCCCTCCATCCGTGGTGTGGGTTGATTGCAGGGAGCTCGAACGGAGCGAGTACATCGCAAAGGTGATACATAAGAGCGATATCGGGGTGCTACGGTCGTTGTCACAAATAAGATAACGGACACATAGTCCATCCTGACGACTTCCGTTTAAAAACGCACCCTGGTCATCCAGTGTCTGGGACACGTCGTCAGGTTTGCCGTTCTCTCTGAGATTAGAACAGATACTGAAAGACATCTATCTCCGGTCTGATCTCGCGATTGATTATGCTGTTCTGAACGGTAAAATGACGTGGTGCGTGGCTGCAAGAGTTCCTCCGACGATTCAGCCACGGCCGGGTGACATTTCCCTTTCCAATCTGGTCATTGAGCCGACTGGTGGCCGTGCTGAATGGCGAGTGGCTTGGAGCTAGGCTCAACGTTGGATACCGCTTCACTTGCTCGACCCTGACCGGTCGGCCCGACCTCATGCCACCTTGGGGTCTGATCTGAGCCGGGCAGGAGATTTGCACCAGCGGATGACCATCACCCGGCAAAGTCCAGCCCTACATGGTGTCGGTGCCAAAACTCGGGCGCTCGGAGTTAGATGGCTGAATAACCATCTCTTCAATTCCACCATTAGCAACGTACTTGTTACAAAGCGTTGTGGACCGCGAGGCCCAAACTCAGAGCAGAGATGACCCTTGCTTGGCTGGACAGCCTCTTTCCGAGCGTCGCTTTGGAACAGAGAAGCTCATCCGGCTTGGTGGATGGCATGGCGGACTTCTCCCCTTTGATCTATCCCATGCACAGTTCTGATGATCCGACGAACGGGTCGCCGTGGAAGAAATATTTGCTGAGTACAGTTCGACTGAAGGACCAAGGATACGGAGCAACGCCGGTTGTACTTACCGTTCCTCTCTCAGATGGGCAATAGATGGCTTGGTCTGCGCCCATCCCTGATGCCGTTCCGGCCCTGACCTCACATGTTGTGTTCCATTCACATTATCGCCTTGGCCGATCTCTTCCACGTCGAAGGAGGAGGGATCACAGATCATGCCTGGTTCTTCACCATAACCGGGCTCGTCCTTGACTCTATTGGTCGAAGCATCGTAGCTGAGAATGATCAGCAAAAAGGGACTGTGGAAAGGGGTGTAACAGGCGTCGCTGAAGTTTAGGAAGAGGATCGAGGGGATGAACGGGACGTACAGATCCGCGAAGAGATCATCTTCAACACCGTCTAATTCTGTCATCTTTTCGGAACGAATGGTGCGGCTAGAGGGACTGAGCGTCGAGGTCGGGAGATGGTCGTCTCACCGAGAGAATACTGTAAAAGGGGAGAGCAGGGGATGGATAAGATAACCTGAGAAGGGGCGTTGGACGGATAGAACCTAGAAACAACAAGGTCAAAAAGAGACCGTTGGGATCGTCAAACAGCAACAAGAGGGAGCACGAGAAGGTGAACACGAAGGAAGACAAGGCCGTCCGGGCACCATTGACGTAGTCCACATGGGATTCGCGGTGGTCACGTGGACGCCCACATCTCGCCGTCAAGACATGAGCTTGCAGCCGATTTCATGGCCATCGTATTCCCCCCGACCGGCCATTGACATGCCATAGGATCCTGTCGATAACGAGTACAGTTTCTATCTCTCTTTAAACGCACGGACTGCGGCCACACAAACAACTTATTTCTTCGAAATGCGCCGCTTCCCACGACTCCAATGACCAGCCCGTCAATGGGACCGCAGTCAACAGCGTACCAACCGGAAACCCGAGAGGGCCCCTATATGGTACCCTAGATCGTCTTGCACAGTTTTTTGTGAAGCCGCTGTTCTTGGAGGGTGCTCTAGACCGTGAGTTGAAGGCCGTTGACTCGGAATACAAGAAAATTTACAAATGTCTGGCGCGTTTGTCACAGCTCGCCAGCCACCTAATTGGCCACGAAGGGCCTGGCAGTGTGCTTGCATACCTCAAGGAGAGGGGCCTTGCCCAGACTCTTTTTGCAGAATATTAGCCTATTTGTCCGGGATCCGCATTTTTTACACTCGACATCAGCTTAACGCCCAAGGGGCTAGAGAATTACCATGAAGTCACCAAGATCGTCTTCAAATATACCGGCATGACGAGGGTGAACCCCCCAAGAGATGAAGACCATGGCTGAGGTGGACTTCAGGTTCCGGCAGCAGTCTCCTGTCAGTCAATTCACAAGTGACACAAGCAGTGTCATGCCAAAGAGGTTACCCCGCAACTGGCTACTCAGCACAAGCAAGTTCAGGAAATTTGATGCCACAGCCATCATCCAGGCCCTGCAATATTTCCGAGAGGACAACCTCACGTTGATGCTGGTGTCGCAGGATTACCCTGGTACTTGGAATCTGAAGGAGAAATGGTACGGAACCGAGTACACAATTGACCGAATCCCCACCGATGTCCTCTCCGACATCCGCAAAGCCCTCAATTCCCAGGATCCAAGAGCCTGCGGAAAACCCCCGATTACTGCGAAACGACGATTTGGTGCGACTTTGGTGGAAAAGGGATGACATATTCTGGGTGCCCAAAGCAAACCTCAGGATCCAGCTCCGAAGCCAGGTCACATATGCAAATCCATCGAATTGTGTCAAGGCAAGTCTTTACGTCAACCTCGTCAAAGACGCTCTTTCAAGTTACTCCTATGATGCAGAGGTGTCAGGGCTTTTGTTCAGCATATCGGCAAATATGCTCGGTGTGGACATCAGTGTACATGGATACAACGACAAGATGGCTGTCCTCTTGGAGAAGATTCTCATCACCATGTGAGACATCGAAATCCAAGCCGACAGATTTGATGTGATCAAAGAACGCATGGCGAGAAATTCTAACAACTGGGCTTTCCAGCAACCATAACTATCAGGTTGGCGACTACACGGGGTGGTTATTGAACGAGCGTTTCTTGGATGACCGATTCATATGCCATTGAACTCCCTCATGTTGATGTCGAAGATCGAAGACGTCAGAGCCTTTGCACCGCAATTGTTGGACCAAGCACACCTCGAAATTCTCGCCCACGGTAATCCGTACAAGGAAAATGCGAAGCCACGTTGAAACCACGGGCCCTAACCCCGTCACAGTGGCAGCTTCGGAGAAATATGATCATCCCTCCCGGAAGCAATTTTGTGTACAAGCACACGCTGGGTGATCCAGCTAATATCAATCATGCCATTGAGTATTATCTACATGTTGGCCACGGCATGGATTTTGCCACTCCCGATCAAAAGCTCCAGTTGTTCGCTCAGATGACAGATGAACCGGCTTTTGATCAACTGAGAGCGAAGGAACAACTCGGTTATGTGGTTTGGAGCGGTGTGAGGCCGGCAGCTGTCACGATGGGCCTCAGCGTACTTATCCAGAGTGAAAGAGATCCGGAATACCTTGAGACGCGAATCAATTCGTTCCTCCTCAAGGTCAATACCGCTCTGGAGTCGATGTCAAACAAGGATTTCGAAGGCCACAAACGAAGTTTGATCAACGCACGCCTGGAGAAGCTTTAAGAATCTTGATCTTGAGACCGATCGACGGTGAGCTTACATCAGCGATGAATACCTCAACTTCTACCAAGTTGATCGTGATGTGACCGAATTACGGAAGGGAAACAAGACGACATCAAGGAATTCTACACCCGATACATCGATCCGCGGTCGCTCACAAGAGCCAAGCTCTCGATTCATCTCAAGGCCCAAGCTTCGTCCCCGCCACTTGAGTTGTCTGTGGAAGAGATTCTTGAGCCAATGAAGGAGGCGGCTCCTCAAGCTCCAGTGGCTCGGGAAATTAAGCCCCCGGTTCCTGAATCGAACGGCCAGGAAGTGGCAGCTCAAATCCCAGCACCTGTGATTATCCAAGACGCACATCAGTGAAGGGCAGACTTGCAGGTCAGCCAAGGCCCTGTGGCTGGTGGCAGACATTCAAGATTTCGAAGACCTTACGAGACACTCTGTATCGAAACTCGGGTACTGTAGCCACCGCGCGGAGCCTTTTATCCCCTCTATCTTTCGTTTCTGCCACAAGCCTGTCATCACTGATAACCGCACGAAGCAATCTCATTGGAGAGTAGCACCGAAAAAGGAGGATGAGTTGCAGTAAACGCTGTAGGATCGAGGACCCAGTACAGCACAAAGTCTCGACAGAGAATGAACGGACAAGCACCCACCCAACATCGTTCGGGTACTACCAACCCACCCTGTTCACGCCTTGAGGTCCTTTCAGTCAAGTGAGCTGCGAACGATAGATAATACCGTCCTGGCCATGGATTGCGCATCAAAATATCCCATGTCTTCGACCGAGCCCGCGAGGTTATTCCCGAACGGCGGATCGCGAATTCGCGCGTGGACAGATGCCTGCTCATTTTCCCAAAGGGGGCTAGTCAGTGTGCGCGTGTCGTGTCCGTAAACCCGAATATTTTTGGGGAATCTTCCTCAAAGCCGAACCATAATGAAGGGGGGTGATGCTGACTTCAACCTGGGGCGTAGCGCTGTCTACACCGAGCTCCAACTCGTTCTTGCCATGTCGAGGACGTGCTTCTTGCTCCGACCTCGTCACACCGAATACCAGGTTATATTTTAAGGGGTCAGAGTATCAGTGAAGGGAGAGCCCCATTTTCCGGAGGCAAACGGCTCCATGTGCGCTTAAGTTACTTTTAGCTCTTCGGTTCCTTTGAAGACGTGGAGGAGAAAGCGATGTGTGGATTTCGGGGTGCATTCACAGTCCCGATCCGGAGGAGCAGACATAGAGCCAATGAATAAATGAAAAATGAATATCCATACGCAAGGGGAAGGAACACAGTGGGCCCGGGCGAGGCTCGTGAGGATGGACATCACATCCTGATCGAGTCACGTGGTGGGCAGTTAATGACGAATTCGCTGTACCCCCGTACAAGCGAGGCAGTTTGGCGTACATAGCACGCGGCTTGTGGTGGTGATCTCCTCGTCACTGATGACCCCCGCCTAGGGTGTGAGACATTTTATTTGTTCGGATCTGACCCTTAAATTCCTAGTTCACGAAGTGAGTTACCCAACAGCGGCTGGACTCGTTTTGGTGGCGTCTCTGATCCCCTTTATGAGCACGCTTCAGCGCGACCAATTCAATGGAGACGATGGCCCTTTCTAGGAGCCCCTCAAAGCGTGGACGACATTGACTTTGACGGGGAAAGTTGCTTCCACGTGGCCCAAAGCGCCACCACGTGGAACGGAACCACCGGTATTTGATTTGCTAGTTGGTCTCGCCTGTCGAATCTCGTTGGGCGGGTGGCGTTAAAGGAGGAGACTTATAATGAGGCAAGTGTCTCATCAAACGCCCGTTTAATGTGACGACCGGGTTCCCGGACCAGAGATTGGCGGTCGGTGCGGGCGCTTGGACCGGCGTTTCCCTTTTGCTGAGGCAGCAATTCTGCTCTAAATTACTCGCTATGGCAGTGACGCTTCCTATCTGGGCTAAAAGTTGATTGTATGTGGCCCGTAGTGACGGTAGAGGTTGCAACCAACAGTGGAGAGGTCATGATTTGTTGACGTGGAGGGCGTTTGCTCGGCCGACCATGCCCCGCTCGAGCATCAGGGGGCGTCGACCTTCGCCACCGCATTCGAATAAGAGGGGCAACAAGTAATTTAGACGTCATGGGTATCGTAATCAAGGCTAGATTATCCGTATTTGCCGTCGCCTTGAAGAACGACTCTGGGATTCATCAACAAGTCATACATTCTCCCCAGGTCTTCCGCAGGGCGTTGTCAAGCCGACGACATAAGTAGCCCGTATACCTCCTCGCATCTACCGCCCTGCACCTTGATCTCGGTCTATCGGGCACCTGCTAGATCATGTGCTCATCCCCAAAATGACTACCCACTTGGATGGGGATCGCTTGCCAGAGACGTCCCCTCCTTCGACCGCTTTGAACTAGGTAGTGCCGGTCGCGTATCTATTTAGAACAGCCCCAAATAGCCATATCGACTCTTTCAGTGGCCAGCCCCTCCTCTTTGTAGAGCTTTCGACGACAGGTCACAGAGGGAGTTAGGGCTCACGGCTAACCGTTATCTTGGGAGGATTGGGCTCGCCTGACTTCCTCGTTCGGACACTGGCCCGCCCACCACAGAGGCGTTTTAAAGGTCTAAAATTGGCGACTTCGCGGTGTCTTGCCGCCATGCGGGGTCAACAGAGTTTCAGATCTTGGCAGCCAATATGGCAAAGATTGGATCGGCGCGCACTGAGGGGCCGATGGCACGGGGCCGAGGCGAAACGAGTTCCATGCGCCCACCATCCTATAATAAACCTGCGCCCGCCGCCCACCGTGGATAACGTGCGATAGACAGCCGCTCCGAGTTTATGTGTACAGATGCGAATGACCCTTCGTAGAAGAACTAGGGTAAACTCACGCTTCGTGGAACAAGTCGCAAAACCTCCCCCCTGGTGCAAAGGAGGAGGCGCTGATCATCCTAGGAAAAGGGTGTCAATTCAGACCACTTTTGCATACCGGTATCAAGATTCACCGACATACAACAACAATGAAGGGGCCACCGTTGCACACTGTTACTCCCCAGCGCGTTCACTATCCTACCCGGACGGTGGATGGCTCTGGGGTTGTGCGGCCGCGCCGAAAGCCTGGACGTGGTGGAAAGCCACGTCAGGAGAGCAAGATGATCCCGTGCGAGGGCCCAGGACAGAAGCCCTTGTCTCACAATCATGTCAATGCAGTGCTGAGAGCGCGTCAGCTTTCATCTCCGACGCCCAAGCTAGGGGGGCCAGGGATCATGCAGGATTGTGAACGCTCGCGCTGCACTCTGAGGACGATGCGGGTGAAATTGATCGATTGGCTAGCGGAGACGATATATGAGAGAGTTCCCGCTCTCGTGCAGCATTGTGAATGCTCGCCGGGGCCTACGGAAATTATCGATTGCACGGCGGAGACGACATGTGAGGGAATTTCTGATCTCGTGCATGACCTCATGCATGACGCCGTGCAGGATCCAGTGACCGAGCAGAAGCTGCCACAGGGAGAAATCTGGGCTCGTGTGACGATTCGCGCGACGATTTGCGCGGAGGATCGTCTCCGTCATCTACCGGCAAATACCAACACCATCCGTTGACGAAGGTCGTCGTTTCTGTTGGCATCTCTACGCCGGAGGCGACCCGTGTTCCAAACGGACGGTTTCCGAGGCATTTAGCAAAGCCCGCTGTCATCACCAGCGGGGAGGAAGGCGCCACTTGACCATCGCACATGACGATCGGTCCGCGTGCTGTGGCTGTGGACGCTGCCAGTTCACTCCTTCGCCTCATCAAACTTGGCCCCTCAGCCTAGCCGAGACAAAAAATTCCGCGGAGGGTTTGGGATTCGTCGAGGGGTCGCCTTGGAGACGGAGCCGCTTCCATTGTCACTGGTACCCTACGATTGGAGTCGCGAGGGCGTGCGACGGGGAAATGCCGTGGAACTCAACTATATGCTCCCTGCCGGTTTTTGGCACTTCCGATCTTCCGCCAAAGATGTCCGAGCTACATGAAGGTTAGCGAATGGACCGACAAGCTCTCCAGACCGATGTCTCCCGGAGGGTTGGACTGACCCCATGAGCATGGCAGAGTATTGGTTCTTGCGGCCGCCCACCCGATCCAGAATAGGCTTCTTTATCGACCGACGATGGAAGTCAAAGGATATTTTCATTCTCCACCATGTTCGGCGTTGTTCAGAAGATCTGCCCCGACCCGGAAGGGCGGCATATCGGCTGGTTCGACGCGAGGTATGGTTTGCTGCGGTTGCCGCCTCACTCGACTAGACTACGTCGGTATGTGGAGGCAAGAATTCGAATAGCCTGACTGAGTCTTCCGGATGGGCGACATGCCCAAGCTCTTCATCATGTCGAAGGCGATTCCCTGGTAGACTGTCCAGGGGACAAAATTAACATTTGCGATGTGACCACGGGACCCGTCATGATTATATCCTCCTTCCAGGAGGATCAACTGCCGTTCTGCTGAGACGCGCGACCACGTCTATATAGGGGCAACCGTGTACTCTCAAAGGCCCCGCACTCTCTTGCTTTGCTCTTCCAGCACGAGGAAGATCTTTGAGAAGCTCGCTCTTCGAAAAGGATCTTCACACAATCATTCACAATTACCAGGTACCGCCACATCCTATGGAGAGCGAGCCCCTCTCACCCCTTCTGCAACCTGCCTCCGCAGGAGACCGAATAGAATTCCACAGTCAGGGTGGGTCTTCTAATCAAGGGGAAGTATCATTTTTAAAAGAGAAAGACTAGGATCCACAAAAGTCATACAGTGACAATTCGAACCACCTTCGCTACTTCATCGAGTGAAACTTGACGTTGAACGGTAAATCGGTATCGAGGCAGTCCCAACCTAATGTGGTAGTGATTCGAAATTTCCCTCCCAACCGACAAAGTGCGCCATAAAAATACTGCGGTGGTAGTGTCCGTCACTCAGCGTTCGGAACCTCCCCTCAACCACCAGTTCGACGAGAGCAAGGTCGATTGGGATCATAGAGCAACAACAATTGCTCAGCTGGGTCCAGCACACCAAAAATTTTCCTAGAGGATGTTGGTGAAGATTTCATTCAACTACGTAGAAAACAATCCCCAATCGGCCAGTCGGTCCGCGAGAAAGGACGACATCGGCAAGCAGTTGTACAGCCTTGACTTGACTTGTTTCATTTACCCTGACCTCATGCATACTCACCACCAACTTACCTTCTTCCCTTCACTGTTTCGCATCTGTCCTCAATTCACTCGTACCTTCCTCCGTTCACGCAAACGCATTGCTAATCCTGTTTCGCATTTGTGGCCTATATTGATCACTCCCGGCGGGAGCATCTTGTCGGTCGGCACCTGTTTCTGTGGTGACTGTGTCATCAACACCGCCAGTTCGACATCCTTTGCTTCCCACCGGATGCGGTCCACCACAGTCGATACAACGCGGAGCCGTATTTGGTAGGCAGTTCTGTTGTTGATGTTGGCCGGCACAGTGCCCACATCGTGCCCGTTCTCGACATGACCAAGCCAAATGGCCATATCTTTGGCATCGATGGCATCGTTTCTTCTTGATCTGATATGGTTCCACGCTTCCAACATACTGTCGACCAAAGATCATCCCATTGTCAACAATCCAGTCCGCCGCCGATTGGGTGTCAAGCCACACGCCTAAAGATGCTGATTGGCCGAGTGATTTGTCCTTGCCACGCAATATCTTGAACTCGGTAGCCTTTCTCAGCCAGCTCATTCTCTTCCATGATTCTGTCGATGGCTTCTTTCTTATGTTCTGGAAGAGGGAACGCAGCAGTTGGGGC